CCCCCCAAACAACACACACAAAAAAACCAAAGGAAAGAAGGAATGGCCTATTTGGTAAGTGACAAAAGAAATTACACAATCTATGGGGGTATGGAATTGAGAAATTAAAGTGCACCATAGCAAATAATCAGGTCCAGCTATCTATAGAGGATTAGCTGATTTTGTTCCTGTTAACAACCATCTAACCTGCTTTTATCAAACCGCTGTAGGGTGGAAATCACTGCCCGCATGTCTGTTATTTGACTAGGTTTAATTCTTTTGGGGATTTACAGAGTTACAGCAAAGATTATATCTGTGAACTCCCAACTATTTATGAGCATTTTGGAAATCTGTTCCCACTAAGATATTTCCAAGTCGAGAACAACTTCAGCAGTAGAATCTAAACTCTAGATAAGGAAAACTTGTCAAATAAATAAACTGGGTATCTCTCAAAGCTTTTATTGCGAGATGATAGATCTCCGCAATTGTCATCTTCATTGGCTTTTCTGGTTTTGAAATTATTGAACAATTCCCTGCTTCATTGTGATAATGCAGTTCTCACAAATTAGTTTCTTCTTTGAGCAATTTGTTTTTTCATCTAATGGTCTCTTGATGCTTTTGTGTAGGGTCTGCTGTTGGGTTCAGATTGGATAGCCTCCTTAAACTAACAGAGACACGTGCACGGAACAATAAGATGACTCTCATGCATTATCTTTGCAAGGTATGGTCTTTGCTTGGTAGTCTTCTTGATGAGCTTGGCAGATATGATGGTTTTCCGTGGCCGGCCATTAATGCTCTTTAGTTTAGTGGAATGCTGTCCAACTTGTGAGGGAAAAATAACAAGTAACCAATCATCCATTTCTGAAATAAATCATTGCTATTTGAGTCATAATATTTCTTAAAGGGAATGCTAACATAGAAATCTGTGATGCTTGTACAGTGATTAGTAGAATGCACATTAAGCTAAACCCAGTTTTCAAGGATTTTTGCTCTTTAGGCAGGAATCATCTTTACTGAGCATGAGTTAAAATCTCTCTTTTCCGTGGCCTAAATTTACCCAGTCAGATCAGCTGATTGCACCTTCTGTAATCAGGTCCTTTTCAATTGTATCCTAGGGATTGTCTGTGACTTTCTTTTGTATCGTAATTTATCTAGCTAAAAGTGTCTATATCCGAAGTTAGTAAAAACAAACTATAAATTCAACGCTAACTGGTCAGGTTGAGAAAAAGGAATTAGTGTCTGAAGTGTGTTGGAGCCCAATTCTTTTCAAATCAGGGATTATCTCTTTAACCGGATTTTTTTGCATTTGTCACTTGATTATATTAAGCTTAACTGAAATGCAGAATAGAGGTCTTATTTGAAAAAAAGAAGAAGCAACGACTAGATGCACAGACATGAATCAGCCGTCACCACATGCATTCAATCACAAAACTCGATCTTTTCGTGTTGCTATCAGCTTCCTCACATTTGTCAAATCAATTTTTAGAATTATCTCCATCCTCAAAAATTGCATGCCGCATGGTACTTTCAGATTTCTTATCCTATTGATGTTAAATTCTCCTCTAGCACTGAGACTCTGACCAGTATGAACCTTTTCCTTTATAAATTGCTAATGGTAGCTATTGTCTTGTTATTCACTTTTTTCATGTCATTGTGCTGGTATTAAACTATTTATAATTTTTGCAAAATGCCTTTGATTTGGACTTCTCCTTATGCTAGCAACCAGCATATTTTACAAGATGCTTAACGAAATTCTCTGCCAGGTACTTGCTGACAAATTGCCTGAACTGCTAGATTTTTCTAATGATCTGTCTAGCTTGGAACCTGCAGCAAAGGTATGGTTATTTGGACCCAGTTACAAATTCACTGTAGAAATATGACCGGCAGCTGTCTGATTAAAAAGGTTTCTGCAGATACAACTGAAATTCCTTGCAGAGGAAATGCAAGCTATTAGCAAAGGACTGGAGAAAGTTGTACAAGAACTGTCCATGTCTGAAAATGACGGAATTGTGTCTGAGAATTTTCGTAAGGTAATCTATGACTACTGTGGTCTAAATAATGCTGATTTCTACACACCATCAGATTCTTTGATCTCTTCTCGTTTCTGCGCGATTCTACCCACTCAGCCAAGAGGAGAAACAGAAAATAGGATAAGAATTGGTGAGACATATGCTGGAGGTTAAAATGACTTAGTATTCCTGGTAGTGGCATAGCCAGGAATCTTTCTAAGGGTGTTCAGTCTTTAAAGAAATTAATTTTTTTTTTATGAGTGGGTGCACCAAAAATTTTATATCAAACTAAGTAACATTTAACTAATAAATCATAAAATACTTATAATAAAACTATAATTTTATAAATTAAACCTAACCTAAAAAAGCCAATTAAAAAAATTCTAGTAAGCATAAAACCAAAGGAATGAGAGAGTTAAGAGGGTTTGTAGCCTTAAGATTTGTTTAATAAGAAACTTATAATAAAAAACTACAAGATTGGTTGCTTGTTTTTACAAAAATTTCAAGCTTTATTTAAGAGGTATCTATTAGAAAAAAATAGATTAAAAAAGCAGAGTCAATTAGACCAAACACTGTGGTCTTTATTTAGTTTTGGATAACAAAAGGGCAGATAAAAATATTAGCACAGGGATTTGAACTCATGAACTCCTCCTCACTTTGAACACCCTCGACCATTGGGCGGCCTCTTGCACATATATTAAGGGTATTCAAAATATAATATATGATCATATAAAGTGATATTCGTCCTATATACGCAACACAATTTTTTGGCGAAGGGTTTTCAGTTGACCACCCTTGATACAAGATAACTACGCCACTGATTCCTGCCTTCCTGGTAGAAAATGGCGACTCCTTAGAAAACAAGCTTATTCAAGCTCTTTTCCTGCAAAGATGTGCCGCTTCAACCTCTGGACGAGTCATTCACTCAAAATGACCCTCCATGCAGCGTGTCCTTCTCTTAATTTTTCTGTCATCAAATACTTATTGAACACAGAACAAAATTAATTTTCACTCTGTCATAGGTCTCAATGCTTTGAGACAAAAGCAGGAAGCTTCAACCCCCCCCAAAAAAAAAGTAAAGGAATACGAAACCAGTGCAAAGAAAATGCTTGTACTAAAGAAAATAGCCAAACATGCTGTATGTTCCACTCCAGAAGCAGTGCCAACTGGTCTGTTCTTTCCTTGATTCTCCTCTCTCCAGTGCGTTCTTACCAGTCTTCGTTCCTGCTAGCTACTCATTGCATCACTAAAGATAAAAAATGAAAATAAATAAGCGTGATGTTGGCATCGGCGGTGTTGCTCCTAAGTAGTTATTGTTGTAGGGTATTGGCGCAATTCAAATAGATGAATCCTCCTTGATTGCACTATATACAATTCAGAACTGAAAATATTCTTCTAGGATGAAAGCTCTATTTCACTTTTATTCATTCAAATAGAAAATATGCATTAAGTGGTTCTCCAAGTGATGACAAGTGGGATAAAAATGGGTTTGGTCCCTAAAGAGAGGGATTTGCAGGACAGCTGCTTTTTGCATCACTTGGTTAATATCAGTAGAGAGTGAATTGTCTGACTTTGCAATGTATGAAAATGACTTTGCAATATATGAAAAATCTATTTGCTGAATGCAAGAGTTCTCTTTTGTGTTATTTATCTTTTGGTGTGAAGAGGAATTACTTGAGAGCATAAAACAGTTTGTATTTTGCGGTATTCAATATATGCAACAGTTATCAGCCAGAACTTCACAATATTGCTGGATTTGTAAGGGCTTACACACTATCCCACTTGTGGGATATACTGGGTATGTCGTTGTTGGACCTTTGGGATGTCGTTTCCCCCCTCCCCATTTAGTTTTTGATTTTGTGGGAAGCTAATGAATTAGAGTAATGGAATTCATCTGGCAAATTACGTAGGAAAATTTTATTCCAACATATTGTCAAGAGTTCGGAAGTGAGTTTTAAGTTGCAATCTTCTGGGAGCTAAGTCTAGTTGCAATATTCAAACTCTCGGTAGAAACTAGAAACCACCATAGCTACTATATACTTGTGCGGTATTCAATCTGAGTCTGTTTCACCTCTCGAAGAGGTTTACATGTTAAAAAGGAAAGGGAAAAAATCACGTTTTGACACTGACCTTCTTTGCTCTCTACTCCTCTTTCGTCCCAGCTCCTCCCTTTTCTCAATCTTTTGCTTAAGTTAAGACCTGACACAGCCAGCCATTTACTTTTGCTCCCATAAGGCGCAGTGCTAGACCTGTATCGTTGCTAGCATGGTGTATTTCAAGGGAGTCTTCTGATGGTGAATGGGTATGATGTGGAAAGCCCTAATTGACTTGGAACTTCGATTCCAGGTCATTGATGTCACAGGCATAGTTTAGGTTCTTTTCCTCATTGGTCCAAGATAATTGCGTGTCTTGAGATGAAAATATGGAAGTTCTTTCTTTAACTTTATTGCATGTCATGTATAAGCATTGTAACTTGATCATCCGTTTTCATCTTTCTTGGTAAAGACGAGGAGAAAAGTAGTCACGCATCCTTGCCATGGGGATGGGTATCCTCTTATTAACTTTTCTTATTCCTTTTATTTTCACTAGGATAGCCAAGGGAAATAAAAAAGAAATCTTGAAACATTTTATTTGTACATGTTCTGGCGGGAGAACTATAGAAATCAGAAAATAGATGATGAATATTCTCATTGATTAGTATAATTGCCCATTTGCCAGGCTTTGAAGGAGTTCCTTTGTCATGCTGAAGGTGAAGTGAGGTCCCTGGCTCAGCTTTATTCCGGCGTGGTAGGTGTTATTTGTAAGAGAAACATTTCTGGTCTTTTGGTGTCTATTCCAACATTGAGATGTTCTTAATGGCGTGATTTCTCTCCGTACCCAACAGGGTAGAAATGTTGATTCATTGATTCTTTACTTTGGAGAAGACCCAGCTCGTTGCCCATTTGAACAAGGTAGCGTTTTATCAGTCATCCTCCTTATGTTAAGAAAAGTTGAATGCAATAAAGATGTTGATTAAGTGGTCATTTGTTAATTGTCTCTAATTCTCATTTGTCGACAACAATTTCTCCTTAATACAAACCTGTTTTAAGGAAAAAAATTGATTTGTCTTACTGATAGACAGCTCGGTTGATTAAATGACGTGTCCACTTCCTAGCTTTAATCTGTTTTCTCTGTGCTTCAGATTTCTGCACCATTATCACAGCTATCTGATGCTTTTCTTCACTGCCTTTGTGGTGTTGTTCGTTTGTAGAACTTCAATTTTTTTGAATTATACTCTTCTACAGTGATAGATACAACAGACTAGGCAAAGTGTGTCCTATTATCATGTGAGCTTAACTCCATTTATTTTTTCCCCTAGTTATCTCAACGTTACTAAACTTCCGAAGGATGTTCAATCAAGCCCTAGAGGAAAATCGCAAGCAGATTGAGTTTGAAAGAAAGAAAGCAGAGAAGGAAGCATTGGAGAGACAGAAGACGAGTCATTCAGAGAAAACTTGACCCATTCTGCATAGTCTGAAATAATGTACTCTTCTATGAAAGCATCATCATGGCAAAGCTTGGCCGAGATTGAAGATCCTGGGGAGCCAGAAATCAGTTATCTGACGGTATACAGACGATGTACATTTTCTGTGGAAAAACCGGAGATACGTTGGTGTAGGTTTGAATGCTTCTCACAGTGTTCCTCTTTTATTGTTGAGAGAGGTAATCCCCAGAACAGTATGCTCTTGCTGCTCCTTTTCTGTTTTTGACCCTTTCTAACTCCGGTTTTTCTGGTTTAATTCGTTTCAACTTTCTTGCAGAATCTCAGAACTTGCAGATGGAATTACTTTGGGGCGGTAGGCTAAATGTACATATTTACCTAGGAAAAGAATGTAGAAATTCTTGTAGAAGATGCCTTTTTTTTTGNTCTGTATTTCATGCTGATGATCTTAGCTCAATCTTAGTTTTGTGGTCATCATCCTGTTCAAAATATAAATAGTTGTTCATGTTAAGTTCCTTGATAGCCATCTTATTTTTGTCAAGTCATATACTTTTTGACATTTTGTTTGTGTATACGCCTGTCTCTCCCTCGTGTATCATTCTGATGATTATGCTCTATTGAAATACAAGACTCGGATATTTCAAATTCTTTATTGTGCTCCTGCCTCGAGGATGAGATGTATCCGACTTTTGAAAGGGTATACGTTATATACATTAACAGCCTAAACAAATGAGCGTAATTGCTTATTAGTAGTTTGTAATTATATTCCAAGATTGTACGTTGATGACGATTTGAGTTTATGAATCAAACAGCTCTTATGTAATAGATTTTGGCTGTATCATGTTCATGTGCCATAGCAAATGTCTTTGTGGAATATTATGAAAGATATTCTTGGGAAGAAGGAAAGAAGAAGAGTTAGAGCATTTGGTAGTTTTTTGAAGAATGGATACACTAGTGGACAAGAGTGGGTTGCTCTAGTGGTGAGCACCCTCCACTTTCAACCAATAGGTTGTGAGTTCGAGTCACTCCAAGAGCAAGGTGGGGAGTTCTTGGAGCGAGTGAGCCGATGGTGTATCGGAAACAAGCTTGGAGCTTGGTTGGAAATGATGTTAAGTACTAAATAATAAAAGGATTCCTATACTATATATGAAACTTTATTATCCCTAATCAAGTTTTAACTTAATTACATAGACATATACAATTTACCAATTATATACAAAATAGTATTAAATGAGTATCCTTTTATATTAGAAATTGAGCAGGGAATCTCCATTCCTACTCTCTCTCTCTCTCTCTCCGTTTCTCTCTCTTTCTCTCCTTTGATCTTTTCCCAATTTTCTTCCTTCGTTTTTCTCTGCTTTTCATCTTCTTCTTTTTTCCAGGAAATTCATCGATGAATTTCAATTGTTACAATATAGAGTTTTAACATAGCAATTTCCTTTTCATGTTGCACAATTTGTGTTCGAATTGAAATTGTCAATCAATAAATTTTGAAGGTATTTGATTCTCCACCATTGACAGCCATTAAAAAGCTCTGAAGTTTTGAATTCGAATTTTGGTTTTCAAAAACTATTGTTTGTTTGGATTTGGTGTTATTGCAAACAATTGAAATATTCTTTGGAGTTTATATCTCAATTTTGAGGGTGTTTGGTGAAGATTAGACTTGATTTTGGTTGAATTTCAGATTGAAACTCGAAGAAGAAGAAGACATGACATACAATATACTGACAAAATTGTATTAAAGTTGTATGTAAATTGTATTTAAATTATATTCTGTTGTACTTATGTATATTTTTTATTTGAATATTGTATGAAAGTGAAAAAATAGTTGTATAATGTATGAATCATTGCATGCAATTTGTATTTAATTTACAAATACTATCCTTTTACATAAAGTTGTTGATATGTATCAAAATTGTATTAAGAAAGGAATTTTTGATTGAAATTTCCGAGAGGAAGAAGAACGCACCACATACAAAATATATACAAAATACATACAAAAGATATATTGTATAAAATTTGTATGAAAATTGTATTTAAGTTGTACGATGTTGTAGTTGTATTTAACCGGGTAAAAATAATGTATGAAAGTTATAGATAAGTTATAAAAAAATTGTATACTATATAATTAGTCGTATAAAATCTGTTTTTAGTTTATATATTGTTATAGATGTATCAAAACTAAATATTCTGGCATTCAGAGTTCCTTTTGATAATTAAACTAAAGAATTTAATTAGTCAAATAAATTAAATTATTAGTTTAAATAAAATATTATTATATTTTTTGCTAGCACAGAGGATATAATTAATATTGTGGACAAATTAAAGTTTTCTATTTGAAATAGAAAATTAAATTATATATGTTGGTTGAAGTATATATGTGAAATATATTTAGCACTCACAATTATATTTATATATATTGTATATAAAATATTAGTAAATACTTAATCCTCCAATTTGAAATTGAATTGGATTGTCTGTGAAAATATGTCCGTAAGGACGTTCGGCATTCGGAATCTTTCCTTTAAGAGATTCAATGTTTCCGATTTTTCTTTAGAGAGGAAGTGATTCTTAAATAATACTTTCCTCCTTTTCATTTTATGTAAATACTATATTTAAGGCACTATGGGAAAAAGGAGAGGAGGAAAAAAGGAAAATAGTGTAATTGAATACCCTAATTTAAAGCACTAATAATGAATTATATATGGAGAGAGGAGGCAGAAAATAGGGAAAGAGGATATGAGGAAAAAAAGGAAAAATGTGTAACTAAATCTCCTAATTTAAGGCACTAATAATGGATTGCATATAATTCGTAAGTAATCCTTGTTTAGGGCGGGTAATATACAAAACTAGGACAATTTTGGTAAATAAATTTTAAATATTGTATATGAAGGAAAAAATCCCCTAAAGGATATGGGTGACAAACGGCGGGTCGGGTCGGACACAGGACTTGATCGAAAACGAGTAATAAAAAAAACGGATAAATTATCCGACCCGAACCCATATTTAATGCACAATCTGTTACTTCGCCATATATAGATAAATTTTCCTTCATTGTATTTTGAGAAGTCCAAAAGTCATAACGCTTCCAAATTAAATTCTGCGATTCACATCTTTGAGTTATAAATAAATTAATGCTGCATATTAATAACCTTTATACTTTGACGTTATAGACAACTACTTTCAGGAAACCCCCTTTGCCATCTTTTCAAGGTCTAATATTGCATTTTTTGTTCTGTGAGTGATTCTGCCAATAGACTATATTTTTATTTTAGCCCCAAAATATTAGTCTTGGATAGCAATTCACACGGTCAAATTAGCGACGGATTAGCAAAAAATTATCAAAAAATTAAGTTAATTACTAGCTATTTAGTAACAGATTAGCGAGAAAGTTTGTAGTTAGGTCTGATTTTTTTTGTAGTGTAAGTCATTAGTAGGGAGAAATTAAGAGCGAGAAAAGTGTTATATCAATCAAACATTGTTATTCTATAGTAGTTCAGAATAGTGAGATAAATATTAAAGGTCTGTCATAATTAATTAATTAATTAATTAGTTAGTTAATTCCTCATACCCCTTATGCTAGGATTCATAAACTCCAGCCAAACGTAATGCATGAGCAAATACTAGCACAAAATGAGAGTAATTTTTTTTGGTGCAAACAAATGTATGGAGATAGGAAAAGGAAATAAATTAGGTAAATCAACTCAACCGAAAAGCTAAAAGAAAGGAACAAAAAATAGTAAAACCAATTGAAGAGGAAAATAAAATAATAATAACCAGATATTAATCCGAGATTTGCGAGAGAAAATATTAATTAAAACCCTCTAATATTCTCTCTATTTTCTTTCAAACTCTCCATCCCTCATTTCTTGCATTTCTCCATTCCCTTGAGAGTTTCTTACCTCATATTTTCTTTTCCTTTTTTTTTCTTTTTATATTTATTTATTATTTCCTTCTGAAACTCAAGGGGGAATACTTCTTTCTTCCTTTTCTGATCTCAAGATTCAAGTGAGTATTATTAGATTTCTTCCTTTCTTCTGAATTCTTGATATTATATATGTCATTGCATGTACATCTTTTCACATTTACATTTATGTAATTTATGCATGTCATTGCATATATATCTTTGCACATTTACATTTATGATGGATATTTTCTGTTTTATATAATTTTGAGGAAGGGGAGCTTTGGAGCAACGGTCAAGTTGTTCTGTGTGACTTATAGGTCACATGTTCGAGTTCGTGGAATCAGCCTGTGATGCTTGCATTAGGGTAGGCTGCCTATATTGCACCTCCTTGGGTTGCGGCCCTTTCCCGGATGGACTGTTGTCTATGTGTGACATATAAGTCACGAGTTCGACCCGTGGAATCAGCCACTGATGCTTGCATCAGGGTAGGCTGCCTACGTCACACCTTCTCGGGGTGCGACCCTTACCTGAACCCTTCATGAACACAAGACGCTTTGTGCACGTGACTGCTATTTTTCCTATATAATTTTGGGATGGATTTCAAACATATAAAATTTAACATATAGTAAAAGTTTTTTTTTTTTGGTTGTTGTGTGTGTGTGTGTGTGTGTTTGTTCTAATTAAAGATGATGCTTATTGGTTCAAATTTGGTTAAACATTTATATTCTGTGTGGAAACAGGATTTGAAGAAAATGATTCGACATATCTTATTAGTTTCCTTGCTAATCCATTGCACTTTAGCTCAACCAAAAGGTGGAAAGCCTCTTTCTCCTCCTCTTCCTAAGAGAACATGGTTAACTTTACATGGTAATTCAACTACTTTACTTATTTTATTGTTGGGAAACCCGAGTCATGAACCCATAGAATTAAAATCCTGGATCCATCTCTGCAGGTGATGAGCCAATTGTCGTTGCGAATGGGGGATATTCAGGACTTCTTCCCGCGCAAACAGATATTGCATATTCTCAAGCAAAAGTATTAGGAAAGCGCGGTACTGTCTTGCTATGTGATCTACATATGAGTCGCGACGGACAGGGCTTTTGTTTGTCACAGTTAAACCTTCAGAATACAACAAATGCAGCTGATGCTTTTCCGAATCGTAGAAAAACATACATTGTTAATGGCAAAGAAATTCAAGGATGGTTTGCACTGGTTTTTACAGCTGATGAGCTTTATAGTAAATTGCAAGGTAAGTCACAACTTATGGACTTGTTTGTTACCTAAATTAAATGGCCATACAATTATTTTAATATACAATGATACTGTCAAACCCAGAGGCAGATCTATGTACATAGAAGAGGGGTCACTGGATTCCGTTAAGCTTGGCAAAAAGTTCTAAATATATATGTGCATATATGTTGAAAACGATTATATGTTTTGTCTTTAACCCTTAAGATCAAAAGTCCAATAGGGCACTGGTTGAGCAGTCCGCTCATGTTTCCCCGCCACCTT